ACTCCAAAAGAGCCAACAGGTATTCACTAAAAGGCAAAGGGAGCTAATTAGAGGATAATATTTCAAAATGGAACAGGTTTTGGTGAGTAAAAGAGTTGAGTGGAAGAGGCCTAATTAACCTAAGGTTTAAGGAGGTGGAACTAGGTCTAGCCTCTATAAACTCTTGAAACAGAAGAGCCAGGACAGGGCTCCAAACTAAGGAGAAAGTGCTGTGAACAGAATGGAAATTATACAGAACATATACAATAGACAAAGGAAGAAAAGGAGATGGTAACAAAGCTAGAAATCTTGGAAATAAAACCACCATATTTGTAAATACCTGAAAATAACAGAAAAGGAAGCTCTTCAAAGTTGGAAATACTATCCTTAATCACATCTCCTAAAAGTTCAGGAAAACTAATTTAATTTCACAAAAAATAAGCAACTGAGGTCAAACGCCATATATAGCATGGGCGGCGGGGGGGAGGGGGAGGGGCAGGCTGGAGATAATGAATAGAATCATATCCCTACCATAAAAGTAACCCAGAAAAAGATTTTAAAAACTAGCCTAAAGTCCAAAAGACACAGGAGCCAACCTGAAAGAGCTTCCAATGACCAAAGCCAGAAAACAGGGAATAACAAAATTAATTATGATAGCACTGGAATATTACTCAAAAATAAACAAATACTCATAAATCCATACTGATGTGAATAACAACTGAATAAATAACATGCAAGAAGTTACATGTAGAATAAAAGACATCTTTTTTAAGGAAGAATACTAGTTAATGAATATAGAAGGAATAGGAGATACAGAAAATCACCGTTAGAACATTACTGTAATAATTGTTACAGGCAAGATTAATGTATAAATGATAAAGTTAAAACTTTAAAGAGAAATATGTCAAAGTATACTCATTAGTTACTGTGGTGGTTTTACTTTATGTCCACAAATACTTTGACATTTACCATATCTCAGACTACTCTGCTGGAGAGACAACATAAAGAGACCAGGAAGTCTCTGGAAAGTCATGGAAAGGAACTCAGCTAAGTTCAGCCTTCCAGCCATTCCTACCAGAGTGTCAAGCATGTAAATGAAGCCATCTCAGAACCTACATACTGGCATGGAGCCCTGTTCAAATTTATTACCTACAAAGTTATGAGATACAGTGAAATAGTTTTTGTTTTAAGTCACTACGTTGTGAGGTAATTTGTTTCAGAGCAGATCATGAGAAAGACAATCGGATAGTATGTGTATCCTGATGAAAGAGGACACCACAATGACAAGAAGTTCAAACCTGTCTCATCAAGCCTCTGGATCCAGCTGGCAATTTGCAAGAAATACAGAAGAAAGTAGAACTGCATCGTAACTATGCAATCAGCAAAATCCAGATTGTGGGGAAACTCAACACATCAAATGGCCCAGATTCCTCAATAGATAAATAATCCAGAGAGAGAGAAAGAGAGAGAACCTGAAGATTAAAAGACACTTAAATAAAAATGAACAGCAAGACTGAAGTACAATGTGGAAGAATACCTACTTGGGTGATAAAACTATAAAGGGCACAAGAAAGACCTCTGGAGTAGCCAGTAAAGTTCTATTTCTTGACTTGGGTGGTGGGTATATCTATATACATTATCCACCAATTTACACATTTGTGTGATTCTCTGTATCTGTTTAAAAACAAAATAGAACAAAACAAACAATCCCCCGCACCCCCAGTATTACCTATTACACTGAACTAGTATGAAGTCTCTCCCAAGTGAAATATGTCAACCAACCATATCAGGACCCTTGTGAAAAAGTTCACTGAATGTGCAGTGACATGCTGTGCTTTTTAATCTGAATGGCAGAAACTAGCAAAAAACACCAACTGTATCATTCTGGGTTACATATACTGCTGACTTAAACATTTCTATCTCCTTAAAAGGAGAGATTTCAAAAATAAAGGGCAGAATCAAAAGTCAAAACAAAAATATGTCCTTTTGGAGAACTGGTAAACTAGAAGGTAGGGATGCAAAGATTTATTTTTCAAACATCTTTAATATGTTTGAATATTTTTTTTAACATGTCCTTCGGAACTGCCTTTAAAAATAAAGACGGATTTGTATTTCTAATATGGAGACATCTCTAAGACATACAATTAAAAAACAAAGATACTGATCTCATAAGATTTTTTTTGTAAAAATTTAAATTACACATTTTTAGAAAGCGTAGTGAAGCTTTTTCACATACAAGAGTTAGTTTTATGCCCTATATGCTCCCTAAACAACCTGAAGCTCTCATGGCATTTACCGGGTGTTTTAACTTTGATTATAACACACTAGCTGGCATTATACTAATTTCCCAGCCAAACACAAGTACAAAAGATGAATTAAATACCAAAATGAACTTGTCTGACGACATCAAAACAACCTAGACAGCTAGAACATGAGGCACAGATTCCAGGGACAGAGAATGGAAGAGTTCAGCCCAATATGTGGCTCCACTTCTTTCAAGGCATTTGCCTATTTAAAAGTGGAAGACACGAGGCTGAGAACCTGCAGAACTTTGGGCAGTCTCGTAAGACTGGGGAGATGAAAACTGGAATTCAGAGCTCACTAAGGAAGAGTAAATACTCCAGACTTTCAGATGGGACCCAGTGAAGGCAACAGGAAATACACCTCGAAAAGACTGAAAGGTCTCCAAGAGAGACCAGATGTTATGCCACAAAATAAGTCTTAATAAATGTAAAAAGACTGGTATCATAGAAAGTATCTTTTCCAATCACGATGAAATAAAACCAGAAACTAATAGCAGAAGGAAAACTGGAAAATTCCCAAACACATTCTTAAACAACCAATGGGTTACAAAAGGGGAATTAGAATATCTTAAGACAAATGAAAATGGAAACAATATACCAAAACTTACGAAGTGATACATCAAAAACAGTTCTGAAATTTATAGCCATATACACTTACATTAAAAAAAAAAAAAAGAAAAAATATCTCAAATCAACAACCTAACTTTATACCTTAAAGATCTAGAAAAAGAACAAACTAAATCCAAAGCTAGCATAAGGAAATGATAAAGATTAGAGAAAAGAAATATAAAACAGAATAGAAAAACCAAGATTTGATTCTTCAAAAAGATCAACAAAATTGACAAATTTATAGCTAGATTAACTAAGAAAAAAAGAGAAAGGAAATGTGGAAACATCACTACCAAATTTTACAGAAATAAAAAGGATTACAAGAAATACTATGAATAACTGTACACCATCAAATTGGATAATATAGATGAAATGGACAAATTCCTAGAAATAGACAACATACCAAAACTGAATCAAGAAGAAACGGAAAATCTGAATAGACTATTTTATTATTACTATTAAAGAGACTGAATCAGTAATCAAAAACCTCTCAACAAAGAAAAAGCCCAGGACCAGAGAGCTTTACTGGTGATTTCTACCAAACATTTAAAGACTTAAGACCAATCTTTCTCAAACTCTTCCCCGCCCCCCCCCAAAAATGGAAGAAAACACTTCCTAATTCATTCTATGAGGCCAGCATTACTCTAATACCAAAGCCAAAGACACCACAAGAAAACTACAGACCAACGTCCCTTATGAATACTGATGCAAAAACAACAACTCAACAAAATACTAGCAAACCAAATTCAGTAGTATATTAATGTACTATACACTGACCAAATGAGATTTATTCATGGAATATAAGGGTAGTTCAACATGTGAAAATTAAACAATGTAACATCACATTAACAGAATGAAGAAAAAAACCCATAAACACCTTAATTGATATAGAAAAGGCATTTGACAAAATTTAATACCTTTTCATGAAAGACACTCAGCAAACTAGGAAAAGAAGGAAACTATCCCAACATAGTAAAGACCATATAACATTTCAACGATGGATGGCATATACACAGTGGTCCCGTAAGATTATAATAAAACTGAAAAATTCCTTTCAGGTAATCGTAACGTCATCGTAGCACAACGCATTACTCACATGTTTGTGGTCATGCTGGTACAAACAAACTTACTGTACTTCAAGACATATGTAGCACTTATAAAGTCTATAGTAGTGTACAGTAATGTCCTATGCCTTTATGTTCACTCACCACTTACTCACTCAACCATGGCAATTTCCAGTCCTGCAAGCTCCATTCATGGTAAGTGCCCTATACAGGTATACCTCTTTTTTGTCTTTTATGCTATATTTTTACTGAACCTATTCTATGTTTATTTTTATTTATTTTGTATTAAAGTATAACTGGCATACAATGTTATATTAATTTCAGATGTACAACATAGTGACCTTTTCCATGTTTAGATATATTTAGATACACAAATACTTACCATATGTTACAACTACTTATAGTATTTCGTATAGTAACATGCTACACAGGTTTGCAGCCTAGGAGCAAGTGTGTGGCTATACCACACAGCCTACATGTGCAGTAGGCTATACCATCTAGATTTGTATAAGTACATTCTATGATGTTTGCATACAACAAAATCACCTAACGACACATTTCTCAGAACATGTCCTCACCGTTAAGCGGCACATAACTGTATGAAAACTCACAATAAACATCATACTCAATGGTCAAAGACTGACAGCTTTTCAAAACTCTAAGATCAGGAATAAGACAAGGATACCTAATTTTGCCACTACTATTCAACATAGTACTGGGAGTTCTAGCCAGACCAATTAGGCAAGAAAAAGAAATAAAAGACATCAAAACTGGACAGGAAGAGGTAAAATGATGTCTGCTCACATATGATACAATCTTATATGTAGAAAACCCTAAAGATGCCTCCCTAAACCTGTTAAAACTAAATAAATGAATTCAGTAAAGCTGCAAAATACAAAATCAACACCCCAAAATCACTTGTTTTTATAAACTAACAATGAAGAATTTTAAAAGGAAATTAAGAAAACAATTACATTTATAATAGCATCAAAAAGAACAAAATAAGAATAAAGTGAGAAGGCAAAAAGACTATACTATACCGAAAACTACAAGACAATGCTGAAAGGAATTCAAGACACCAAAAAATGGAAAGACATCCTGTGTTCAAGGACTGTCAACACTACCCAAAGTGATCTACAGATTCAATGCAACCCCTATCAAAATCCCAATGTTTTTTGCAGAAACAGAAAAATCCATCAGAAAATCCGCATGGAATTTCAAGGAACCCTAAATAGCCAAAACAATGTTGAAAAAAGAACAAAGCTGGAGGTCACAAAGTTGGAGGCCTCACATTCCCAATTTCTGAATTTATTACAACCATGCATTGCACTAGCACAAGTTCCTCTTCACCTCTTGCTTTGGGCCTCCTGCCTCACCTCTCCTCGAAATGGACCCCAACTGCTCCTGCCCCACTGGTGGCTCCTGCACCTGCGCTGGCTCTTGCAAATGCAAAAACTGCAGATGCACCTCCTGCAAGAAGAGCTGCTGCTCCTGCTGCCCGTGGGCTGTGGCCGGTGTGCGTAGGGCTGTGTCTGCAAAGAAGCAGCTGCTATGCGTGATGTCAGGGAGAGCCTGCTCCCAGTAAACAGAGCAACATATTCAAACCTGCATTTTTAAATTTTTTCATAAACTCTGACCTGATTTCTGTATTCCTTTTTGAATGATATATTTGAATGACAAAAAACTTATCTAGACTCAAAAAAAAAAAAAAAAAAAGAAAAAAGAAAAAATGTATTATAAAACCACAGTAATCAAAATAGTATGGTTCAGGCATAATGAGAGATACACAGACGAATGAGAGTCTCTCAAATACAGTCAAATATCTTTGACAAGGGTGCCAAAATTACACAATGAGGAAAGGAAAAGTCTCTTTAACAAATAGTGTTGGGAAAACTGCATAGCCATGTGCAAAAGAAAGAGGTTTGATCAAATAACAAAAATTAACTCAAAATGGATTAAAGACCTAAATGTAAGAATTGAAACTAACTCCCAGAAGAAAACATAAGAGAGGGAGAGGGGTTCACAACATTAAATATGATTGAATAGATATGACACCAAAAGCACAGGAAATAAAAGCAATGATAGACAAATGAGACTACATCAAACTTTAAAACCTCTGCCCAGCGAAGGAAACAATCAATGTTGTGAAAAAGCAACCTACACAATGCAAGAAAATATTTGAAAACTCTCTGATAAGGGTTTAATATCGGGAATATATTAAAAAACTCCTACAACTCAACAAAACCCAAATTATGCAAAAGACTTGAAAAGACATTTCTCTACAGATGATATAAAAATGACCAATAAGCGTATGAAAAGATGCTTAACATATCACTATCAGGAAAATGCAAATCAAAACCACAATTAGATATCACTTCACACCTGTTATGATGGCCACTATCAAAAAAACAAACCAACATGTATTAGTGAGGAGATATGATGAGATATCGGAACACTTGTGCACTGTTGGTGGGAATGTAAAACAGTGCAGCCACTATGTAAAACAGTATGGAGGTTCCTTGAAATATTATAAACAGAACTACCAAATGATCCAGCAACTCCACTTCTGGGTATACAACCAAAATAATTGAAAACAGGATCTTGAAATGATATTTGCATACCCATATTCATTGCAGCATTATTCACAATACTCAAAAGTTGAAAACAACTCAGATGTTCATTGATAGATGAACAAAACATGGTATATAGATACAAGATAATTATTCATACCATGACATGTTACAACATGGATAAACCTTGAAGACATTATGCTAAGTGAAATATGTCAGACACAAAAGGACAAGTATTTATGATTACATTTAAATGAGTTACCTAGAATAGTCAAATTCATAGAAACGAAGTTAGAATTTTGGTTGCCAGAAGTTCAGGGGAGGGGATAATGGGGAGAGTTATTGTTTAATGGGTACAGAGTTTCAGTTGGAGAAGATGAAAAAGTTCTGGAGATGGCCTGTGGTGATATAGTGGTATAGCAATGTGTATGTACTTGTCACTGAATTATGCACTTTAGAATGGTAAATTTTAGGTTATGTATATTTTACCACAAGAAAGATAAACACATTTTAGAATCTGTTCAACCCCTTTTTAGATTAAAGGGATCTCATCCTATCATAAAGATATGCTTGAAGCAAAAGAAATCACCTCGGGAAAAAAAAAAAATCTCTTCAACTTTTCATAAACAGTATATCCAGTACCAAACAAAAGCAAGACTAAATGATAATAAAAAAGGGAAGGGGGAGATAACAGAAAATAACTTATCTAGGTAACAGAATTATTAAATGAGAACTAAAATAACTGGGATGTCTTAAATGAAGTGATAAATGTAACATCGCCAATAAATAGGACGAACATTTTGTGTGACTCCTGATGTGATTCACTGAAAATGACAAATCAGCCATATAGTATTCTTCCAAAAACTTTAACCTGAATGCAATCATAGGAAAACAACCAGACAAATCTAAACAGTGGGGCATATTAAATACAAAGACAAATAGGCCTGGATTTGTTTAACATCACTATCATAAAAGAAAAAACACTCCAGAACTGAAGAGACATAACAACTACAAGAAATGCATTATCTTTTACTTGATCCAGGATTAGGGAAAATAAATTTTTTTTAAAGCCAGAAATCTATAACTGCAACAATTGGAAAACTTGAAATATAGACTGTGTATTAGATACTACTACTATGTCAATGTTAAATTTCTTGAGAGTGACAATGGTTTTAGTTTAGAAAAATGTCCTTGTTATAAGATATATGTCAAAATGTTTTAGAGGTGCAGCATTATGAGGTCTGCAATTTAATTCCAAAAGGTTAAAAAAATATACACTCAGAGGACAAACAGGGACAGACAAAAAAAAAAAAAAAGCAAATGTGACACTGTCAAACTAAGAGTATATCAGTGTTCACTGTACAATTCTTTCAAATTATGAATTTTTCAAAGTGAACAGTTGGGAAAAATTAATAGATTAATATACTTAATGAATTAGTAGACATTTTGGAGACTTTCCGTGAAGAAATAGAACCTATAAAAAAGAATCGAATGAAAATCTAGAACTGAAAAATACAGTAGCTTAAATTAAGAACCTAATGGAAGAGTTAAACAGAAAATAAGACAACTGAAGGATTACCAGAACAGAAAAGAGGCCAACAAAATAACAACACCAAAGCACAAATTCAAACAAGGACAGACGGTAAAGATGGGAAGAATCCATAGTGAAAAAGTCTAACATACATATAACTGAAATACCAAAAGAAACAGAAAAAAATGGGGCAGAAGCACTAAAAACAATGGCTGAGAAATTTACGAACGTATAAAAGACAGCAAGCTACAAATTTAAGAAGCTCTAGAAACCCTTTGGACAGAAAAACCAGACCTAGGAACATCATAACAACACTATTAAAAAAAAAAAAGAGAGAGTAAGCGAGCGAACGGGGGAAAAAAAATGGCATGGATGGTGGGAGCTCTGTTTATCCCTCTGGCGACTGGATTGGGGTTGTGACGGAAACAAGGGGCAGCAGCGGGGAGAAGGTGCCTAGGATCTAGATGAACAAACCATACAACTAGGGAGAAATACAGGAAGTCACCCTACAGCGGTGGAGGGTGAGACCGGATGAAGACTCGGGGCCGAGTGGGATGGAGGCTGCCGCTGCGGCAGACACCTTTTAAAGGAGCCACGTCCGTGAATGGATTTTCAAGGTGACGGACCTGCTCACTCTGAGCATCAGTGCCAATTTGGCTGCACACATGGGCACCAGGGACTTACAGGGAGACATTGTCCAAGTAAGGGCTGAAGCGAGACTCGCTCTGTACAGAAGTGGCAGCAGTGTACATTGTTCCCTGTTGAGCCCTCCCACATACCAGTGCACCAGACACAGCACCGCCATAGCCATGATGTCATCAAACTGGATGACAGAGGTCACTCCGCCCAGAGGATTCCCTGAAACCCCACCTTGTAGGGAGCTAAAGCTCCCCAAATTCAAAAGAGTGCATGGATTATCTCGGGAGGCCTGCTTGCATAAAAAAGAAAAGGCTGGTTCTGTGGAATTCCAGGAAGAAGAAGATTAAGTATAGCAAAGGGAGTGTCGAAGGGAGTGTCGAAGGGAGTGTCAAAGGAAGTGTCAATTGTACCTCGATCTTCAGGATGTTACTTTTATTATGTTATTTTG